AGGGTGACAACTTGTTCATCAGTTACATCACTTAACTCACCTGGGAGAATCAAAGTTAAAAAGACTAATGAACTCTAAGTTTTCAATCCCAGGACTGACCTCCATGGTCCAGGACATCAGTTCCAGGTGTCAAGTGTGTGCACAGGTAAACTCCAAGGCGAGACCAAGGAACAAAGGTAATCGACTATGGGGAAGAGAGCCAGGGGAACATTGGGAACTTGATTTCACTGAAATAAAATCCAGCAATAGGTTCAAATATTTACTGGTATTGGTTGACACCTACTCAGATTGGGGAGAAGCTTTCCCCACTTATGGAGAATCAGCCAACAAAGTGACTAAGGTTTTGCTCCAAGAGATAGTTCCCCAATTTGGCATCCCTTGCTACCTGGGGTCTGATGATGGGCCTGCCTTCACGGCAGATATCCAAATTATTGGCAAGGGCACTACATATTGATTGGAAGTTACACTATGCCTATCGCCTACAAAGTTCAGGGCAAGTGGAAAGGATGAATAGGATCCTGAAAGAAACCCTAACTGAATATGTTCTAGGAACTGGTGGTAGGTGGCCTGATCTGCTTCCTTTAGCCTTGTTAAGAGTTAGATGTACCCCATATGTTGACAAGTTTACCCCTTTTGAAATCTTGTATTGGAGGCCACTGCCACTCCTCCATAAGTTAAACCTTGAACAGATAACAGAGACTTCTTGTGTCTCTTTACTTCAGTCTCTTCAAGCCTTACAGATTCTTCAGAGTGAGGTCCAGGCCACAATACAACAGGCTCGAGAAAAATCCTTTATGATATTCAGCCCCACAGTTTCAAGCCAGGAGACCTGGTCCTGATATGCCAACATCAGACTAAGAGTTGGAAGGGGCCATATCCTGTTATTTTGGTAACCCGCTCCATTGTCAAAGTAACCAGGGTCACAGCTTGGATTCATCACACCCAGGTCAAGTCAGCACAAGCAGAGAGCCCAGAGCCAGCACAATGGAAGATCCTAAGTACCCCAGGAGACTTATAAAATTGGGAAAAGAGGACTAGTACTTCTGGTATATATTCTCTATCAATCATGTCAGCTTGGGGGAACAAATAACTTGTTGCTTCCCCATTTAGAAACTTGGGAATTAAGACTAACTTCTAGTGGAAAAATCCTGGCAAAAATAGAAAGAGGACCCGACCAATTGGAGGTCACCTTTACCACTAGCTTATGTCATATGGTTGAGGAGGCTTCATATTATGGGAACAGAGGCTGTGTGAAATCTGGATGCTATACTCTTACTAAATGGGGACTCCATCCTGTCCAATATTGTGTATGTCCAGGAAATGAAGACCCATATTGTGATGGTAATGGCAATGACTATCATTGTGCCCAATGGGGATGTGAGACTATAGCTTCTTGGTCCATTCAAATTACAGATCCCTGGTTGAAAATGTCTCCCACCACCGTATATCATGATAAAACCTGTGATACTGGCATATGTTATCCAATTACCATTACACCCCAAAGATTGGAAGATCCTGGGTGGGTAACTGGAAGGACATGGGGAATTAGATTATATGTATCTTGGTGGGACCCTGGGTCAGAATTTACCATCCAGCAAGGTCGCCAGTGGGTTGAGTGGCCTATGGGGCCCAGCAAGGACTTTGCCCGACCTATCCCCATAGCAAGGCCTAAGCCTGTGCCCTCGCCTACTCAGAAACCAGAACCCCCTACTCTTCCAACTGTACCACAAGATAAAACCCCCACTCCCGTGCTGGAAATGTTGATGAGCACCCATTTACTCCTCAACAAATCCAGGCCTGAGGAGGCTAAAGATTGTTGGCTCTGCCTCGACCCCAAGCCCCCATATTATTTGAGGTTGGGGCTTGTGGCTATGCCAGATTTGTCCCCCTCAACGGGTTGTGATCGGAGCCACCCTTGGCTCACCTTGGGGGACATCCAAGGAAAAGGAACCTGCCTAAAAGGAACAAATTACAGTTTGGATACATCACCTTATAGAGATCTATGTAATGATAGTTATAGCAGTCACCCTGCCTCAGGCCCCCATTACTATAAGGCTCCAGAAGATGCCTGGTTTGCTTGTACCAAGGGCTTGACTAAGTGTTTACCCAAATCAGTCTTGGCTACCCAATCTGCCACTTTATTTTGGGTCACTGTGTATGTTGTTCCACAAGTCTTGTATTATAATGGAAAAGGGGGCCACGAACCTCTGGGATTAACCACTGACCACTATAGGAGTAAATGGGCTGCCCCCATTTTAGTGCCCATTCTGGTAGGATTAGGAATAGCCAGGTCAGCAGCTATTGAAACTTCCTCCCTGATCCTTCAGGACACAAATTTTAAAGCCCTAAGCCACCAAGCAGCCAGAGATTTGGGTCACCTGGAAGACTCGATCTCCAGATTAGAAGACCAGGTTGATTCCCTAGATGAGATGGTCCTACAGAATCGAAGGGGACTTGACCTCCTGTTCATGAAACAGGGAGGATTATGCAGAGCCCTAGGAGAAACGTGTTGCTTCTATGCTAATCAGTCTGGTGTCATTAGAGATACCTTAGCTATGGTCAGGGAAAATTTTAAAACTAAATATGCTCAACAAAATGATCAAAATTGGTTTCAAAATCTATTTGACTGGTACCCATGGTTAACTACCATACTTTCTGCTGTAGCAGGCCCCTGAGTTATCTTATTTCTGCTTTTGCTCCTGGGACCATGTATTATAAATGCTCTGACTAAATATGTTAGACAGAGGGTTGATGCAGTTAAACTGATGGTGTTGAGACAAAATTATGAGATTTTAGAAGATGTTTTAGAGGAAGAATCTGAAGAATAAATACAGAAATCAAAGATTTGATTA